AAGGGGGAGTTACGTCATTGATTAAGCCACTGATCAGTGTTAGTATATTAACATCACATCGCAGCAACACATCTTTCCATCAACAAAAAAAATGACAAATATTGAGAAAATTAAACGAGAGTTGAAGGAAGCGAAGGAGCAGCTGTTGAAGGCAGAGAACGAATTGCGGGAGTTCAAGGAGGGAGATGATGGGCAGTGGCTTGCAGAGTTGACAATGAAGTTGCGAAGAGGAGAAGGAACTGCGGCGCAGCAGCAAAGATGGGAGAAGGAGAAGGACGAGCTGGCTGCGAAGGAGAAGAGACTGGAGGATGATGTCAGGGCGTGTAGGAAGCAGGTGGAAGACTTGCAGAGAATATTTGCATCTGCACCCACTCAGACAGGTAACGACTTTGTGACTCGGGCGTTGGGGCGTGGAGTAGTGTAGGGTAGACACAGTAATATGGGTTTCTTGTATTATGAGTTTGTGCTTGGGTGTTGGGTATTCAGGTTTGTTAGGAACGGGGGGTTACTCACATTCCATCTAACTGCAAAAAAGATAAGGAAATATGGGTACGCTATAAAGATAAACGCATCGCCATCAAACAAAATATCTTGGAAGATTGGGGTGTACTTGATGTGGTCAGTTTGAAAAGGGTGATCCAAGCTCGGTTTAATATATCAGAAAATATCACTATTCACAGTGGGAGTGATAACTTGGCGGACAGTAGACAAATCACCGAACTATACAATACGGAAAATAATGCATTAAAGGTTATAGTCGAAAGAAACGGTATGCATTACGTTTGAATATCTTAAAACCTAATGCTTATTCTGATTATTTGAGTCAAAATAAAGTATTTTGTTTCGTCTTCACTGTCATATTCGGCAATAATACTTACTTAATCTTGTGCTATTCTTTCCTGTTTCTTATCGTCAAACCCGCCCAAAAAAACATATTCGCGTTATCGTAGATCAACCCGGTGCTAGTGGTAAGTGAGTCGTGATAAATTTAGTCAATGCAGTGAACGCGTCCTGGCTTGATTTTTCTTTCACAATAGAATATTCCAAATATATACTGATTTTTCCGCTGTCGTTTTCTCTTTCGTTATAAAAGGAATTGGAAGTTTAACATCCGGCATAGCAGGACTTCAACTTCAAGGTAATTAATTCTTGTGGTCCATACACGAGTTTTATTACGAAATGTCGGAATACTCTTTACTCACATTCCATCTAACTGCAAAAAAGATAAGGAAATATGGGTACGCTATAATAATAAACGCATCGCCATCAAACAAAATATCTTGGAAGATTGGGGTGTACTTGATGTGGTCAGTTTGAAAAGGGTGATCCAAGCTCGGTTTAATATATCAGAAAATGTCACTATTCACAGTGGGAGTGATAACTTGGCGGACAATAGACAAATCACCGAACTATACAATACGGAAAATAATGCATTAGAGGTTATAGTCGAAAGAAACGGTATGCATTACGTTTGAATATCTTAAACCTAAATGCTTATTCTGATTTTTTTTCTTAATTGCCACAATCAATCAGATAATGAAAGTAACGAGGAAGAAAAATGTAAGGACGTAGAATCCAATGATGTTGTGTATTAACAACTTGTTCTTTCTTATTAATCATCTTATTATACCGTTTTTTTACAGATGAGAGTAATATTGAAACAAATCGTATTGAAGATGCATTCCAAATTGGATACCAAGGCACAGTTCTGGAAACCTTCTACTCGCGGCTAAAACAATTTCATAATGAATGGAACAAGCAGATAAAACCATACGCCCCTTACTTAACAATAATTCAAAATTCCGGTTCCGGTAAAACACGACTCGTGGGGGAACTGAGAACAAAAGGGGTCTACGTCTTGTATATTTGTAAGCGTCAGCAGAACAGTAGTGGATATCCTGCTTCAACACCATATGCTCAACAAATTTTTGAAAAAATTCGGGATAACAAATTTGGTTTACTTTTATCTGAGGCGGTTAAATTGATTAAAAATAATAATTGGAGCGAAGAACAGTTTTGGAACTTGCAGATCAAAGCTGAACACGAAAATATTCGAACTCAATTCTGGAAAAATGTCTTAGAATCAGTTGATTCGTTATCGCAACAAAGTGATCTCTTGTCAAACAAGAATTTTATAAAGAACTTATTTGATAAAAATGAAGCGGAAATCTTAGTCGTTTGTTGTATTGATGAAGCACACGAGTTGCTTGGAAAAATATCAACTACTAGTGAAGAGACCTTCTTTGTTCGCTGGAGAAGACAGATTCGTGATGTCATGTGGAATGGATTCTTTAATGTCCTCCTTAGTACAAACGGGAAAATTGGTAATTTTCTTCCTCCAGAAATTAGAGACACTCGCTCTGCCAGGATGCACCAATATTATTTATTACCTGCTTATCTTGACGTCCATACTGTAGATGCATTGGCAAATCTTGCACAAACTGGAAAACGCTATGATCCCCAAAGGACTTTATATCTAGGAATTCCTCTATGGGGATCCCTTGCCCAAGTCGGAGTTGATCTCACCAAGATTTTACACCTGGCTTCACAAAAGATTCGCAATTTTAGTAATAAGCAAAAAGATCAGCTTGCTAATCTTGCATGTATGTCCTGCTCCTTTGCTCTTGAAATTTCCCCTCGAATTGTAGAAGTAGAAATGTTAATAGCATCTCATATGGCAACTGCTATAGGCGTCTCATCTGATCGCACAGAACTTCTTTGCACATATCCTTCTGATCCCATTCTTGCATCTGGAGCATTAAAAGGAATTACTGAAGTTGGTTTTGAAAATTGTTTGGACACACTGTTAGAACAGTTCAGTCGTGGAGTAGTTGAAGCAGGCGAGAGGGGAGAACTTGTCAGTCGCATCTTGTTCTTAAAAGCATATGTTCGTGCTTTAGAAGAAAGTCGGAATTTACCAATTACATACTTAGAAAAGGTTCCCTTGCTATCATTTTTAAAGGCTCTCTGTCATGGAAAAGACCAAGAACTCGAGCAACTTCTTGCAAAAATGAAATTAGATCAAGCAGAAATTGGCTTTAACCATTGGACATCTTTGTTAGCCTCCAATAAAGAGTATGTGAAAGAAGGAGGACATAAGCATTTAACAGCATCACTTGTCAAAGAAGCTTATCACAGACATACCGCTTTTAAAATGCCAATATTATTTCCTGTTATTGATCATATTATTCCGATTCAATATCCTGGTGGCTATGGTATCATTTCAAGTCAAAACAAGAATACAAAAAAATCAAAATACCAAGATGCTGATGTTCTCAGTTTAGTAAATCCTGTATACGCTTTTGATGACAATGATTTTAATGGGATTATTCTGGGTATTTATGTTGATATTGGTTTAGGTGATCCAATGATTTCGATAAAGGAAGTAGATAGTAGAAAATCACGACATACATCTTCTGTTCCTCATTATGCTATCTATATCCAAAATATCAAATCTTTTAACTGCGAGAAAGAAATTAGTGAAAGACTATCGAAAGCACTTTATACATCTCCCTGGCCACTTGATATCCGTTGGAGTATGATTGATGAAAAGAAACCACTAGATAGAAGGGATTCAATAAAATCGTTTTTACCTCTTGTTTTTAAAAAGGAACAATCTTTAGTTAAAAATTGGCGTTTATAGCGATGATAGAAATTGCTTTTTTATACAAGATACTTTTTTTATCCAATCATGCATGCAACGTTAAATGTATTCTAATTTTAGCAATTATTGTAAAATTTATTTTATTAATAACTAATAAATCTGTATATGTCATAATGTCAATTATTATATAGGCAACTTATTCAGTCCATCATGATTTCAGGAGATAAATTTAACCGAATTTTTTAAACTGGCCAGTTTTCTTGATTGCCGGTAGATAAATTTAACCTGGCGCTGATCCCATGCTTACATGTAGGTTTCAGAGAAATAATTCAACCGGATGCTGATCCCGCTTCTGCGCAACTTTTCCAATCCTGGAGGTCCACTAAAGCAGGGTAGTTTCACGTGATTTAGAGATTCAAGCAGGATTCACTCAATCCTGATCATGTGAT